CAGGTACTGCACTTTGTTTACCATCCTGTCCAATCCACCGACAAGACAATGACGACGGTGATTTGTACAGTACGTTCAGTATCTGATCAAATACCACACTGTGTCAATAAGGCCTCCTGCACGCACCACATGGAAAGTGAAATGTTCCTGAAAAGGAAAATTCTGACTATCCAAGTTACAAACAGGTCTCGCGCTCAAGCAGCATAACCACAGCCAGGTGGAAATGTACAACACACTTGCTCACTTCCAATGCACTGCACAAGTGATGTAGGACATGAAATCTATTTTCTTCTTTGCTTTAACTGAAGATACATTCAGAATTCGGCCTAAAGGTTATTTATTGGGACGAAGATCAAATACATAATCGGGAATAGCACAAAGCAAGATGTTTTTTTTTAAAGAATCGGATTCTCAGAATCTGAAACAGAATCACAATCTCCTTTATTGTCCACCTTTTTGGAAATTTTTTTTGGCTTTCCCGAGACAACAATAATAACTGTATATACCGAGTACATTTTACAAAATACAATCAATGCAGTGTAAATACCAATAACATACAATAATGCACAAAAAACATTAGGCTCAAGTGTGACATATATGCAGATATATTAATACAGTGCTCCGAATAATACAGGGCTGGTACATCAGAGTTTAAGAGAGCAATGGCACTTCTAAAAAACGTCTTAAAAACCATGAGCTAAAATCATATAGAGAGAAGACAGCATTACAGATCTGGGATAGACTGCAATTGGTTACCATTTTGCAGAAAAATAGGTTGTGCGTGCCTTCTTCCTTTCCAAAATCAGGGACCATGTTCTATGTGACCTGGTAAGTTTCATATAGATTTGCCACCTCCTCCTCGACAGTTATTTGGGAGCCAGGACTGGACTAATAGCTGATAGTGGCTGTGCACAATTCAGCCCTTGCCTGTGTACTGTATACAGTTTCTGTAGCCAAGAGACATTCCCCAAAATGGCCATCACTACTGATTGAAAGTGTAAGCGAAATATTTTCAGTGTTGAGCTTCACTGCTCTGGAAAAGCACATCAGTAAGTTTTTTTGGGGAAAAAACACTTCAGTGAGTCATTGAATCATTGAATGCCGAGATAAATACTGTAGCTTTCTATGCAAAAATAATTATTTTTGTAATATCCTTGAAAAACAAGCTCTATATGAGTGTTGGTGCACAATTTAACCATCTGTATTTAACACACTTGAGCTTGCTCTGGAAGAAAGATAATGGCAATTGTTTTGTTTTCACTTTTACAAAGAACTGGGTACAACACTGATGTTGATGCATTTTCTCAATAATGATCGTCAAGCATTTTTGCTCCCAAACTCTAAAGGCATTTATACAGAGATGAAAGCAGGACTGCCCAGCAAAGGCAGCAATTCAGCAAGTGTTCAGTTCAGAAAGAGAGAAGCTGCACAGTTGTAAGAAGAAACCTTTGTCGTGATCAATTGGTATTCCAAGACCAGTTTTGAGAATTAGAGTTTTTTTGTAAGGCATTAATCTCCAAATCTAAAACTCCCACTTACTCTGAAAGCTGAGTGCTTTTGTTCTGCAGCTCCCACTGAGTCTCAGTCACTGGACCCCTTGGCATTGCTTTACATAGACTTTACATAGACTTTGCAATGACTTTATACAGACTTTATAATGATTTTACATATCTCCGTCATTACCCGACTGGCTAGTGTCTTTTGCATCGAGTGTAAGAAAACAACATTAATAAACTAGTCAGTTTCCCTATAATCAAGCACAGAGGATATTTCGCTGAAATTGAGCCCAGCTGTATTTGCAATCAGTATGCAGAAACTGCATAACATCCATTAGCTTTTATTTGGTAACACAACGGCCAAAGAGATCTGTGCACCATCTGTTGCTCAAAGCATGAAGCATAAAACAAAATCAGATCCCTTGTTGTTTTAATCACAACGTCCACAAGCTGCGGCACATCCTTCCTCAATGAACTCCTGGTGTTTTTGTTGGTTGCTTTCCCGAGTTCATCGCAGGGGGTTGCTCCCATCTGATGCATCTCCTGCGGGAGAATCTCAGGAATGTGCTGCAGTATTGAAAAGTAGTACCGCACCGACTGGTGAAAGTGCTGAGGAAGTCCTTCAGCCAGGTAAGGCAAGTCTGCATGCTTACTCATTCCATTGCTTAATGACAGGCCTGTTAATACACTCTCAATTTGCACAAAGGGCTAATGAAGGGGAGAAGACACATATTTCATCTGCGTCTAATGTGTTTACATTCTCTCCTTCCACTTCTCTCCATGTGATCCATGTGGCCCTGCACAGATACTGTACCGTTCACCCTCAGGTATTTTCACAGGTACAAATGATCGCAAGTCCAGAAATGATCCTGTTGGCAAGGGGTCCTCTGAGAAAATGCTGCCCGCAGCTACCAAAAAGGTCACAAGACGGGTGCTCTGTCTACAAGCTCATGTGCTGGATCGTGCCGGGCACGATCAACAGGGATCGCCTGGCAACCGTGACAGCCCCGCGGGATTCAGGAAGAGCGATAAACCAGCCCCGCTTCAATCATCATTCATCTCTTCTTGCATCAGGATTAAAAATGAGGTTTGATTTCCTCCCTCTTACTCTGCCACAGTAAATACCGGGTGTCCTCCTTAAACACAAAGACTTTGTTTAATATGGCCTTCATCGGCATAAAAAAAGCTCTTAAACAGGTACAAATAAGAAGGTTAGTGACGCATGACCGCTGTTGACTCTTCATCTTGTCAGCCTGCTGTCCCAATCTTTCTGGGCGATCATTGTCCTCTTCGCTGGTGACTGCAGCTGTTTCCAGGGGACAGGAGTTCCTACAACCCTGACAGAAGACTGACCAAGACCAGGAGGGGCATGAAAACAGCACCAGATCTCAACCGTTTAAGACAGCGCCAATACACCAGGGCTCACAGGGCCGATGCCCAGGACAGGGATTCCCAATCCTGATCCTGGAGACTTGCACACTCCTGGTTTTCACTCCAGCCAAGCTTAATTGCTTAATAGAACCCATAATTGAACTACTAAGTTGCTTGATTAGAACATGTGCCCGTTTTTATTTCTGCTCAGACGTTTGGGAATTAATTTCAATTAGGAAATGCAGCAGTTAAAAGGCAAACCCCAACATGTTTGAGAGCTGTAAAGAATCAAACAATTCAGATTAATCCTATTATTAAGTCAATTAAGGGATCTATTGTGAGCACTTGACTAGAACATAAACCAGCTGGTGTGTTTGCCTCCAACATGGAGTGTCTGGAATGTGTTTATACCCCTGTCCTGATCTGAACAATTCTACAACTTTATCCCTGAGTTGTTTTCAAAACCATACTACCTGACTGAGGGACCTTACAGAGACAGGTGTATTTATCCTAAAGTCATGTGAAGGACTGTTACCATATTCGCCTATTTGCCATAGTGTAGGGAGGGAGTGCTCGTTCAATCAATATTTTAATTTTATTTTTCTTTGTTGTCTACTGACGTTTAACATCTTTTATCAATAAAAATAACAAAATACACCCTTAACATAAAACATACATGAAATAATTCAATTTGTTATATGTCAAGATTCCTTCCAATGGAATAAAGCATAGGGCCACTAATCAAGGAATCAGAGCTCACCAACTCCTTATTTTTTTAATTCACTACATAGTACTGTTTTTTTAGCACACTCACTCTGTAATCAGTGACTGAGCTGGTCAGCCCCTGTCTTCTGAAGGCAGCAGTGTGCGTGGTGTCTAGTCACTCCAGACAGCAGACACTGCTGGCATGCAGGGAGAAAGGTAATGTTTACCCTCGTGGCCCTCACATGAATCATAGGACAGACTCCTGCTCTGCTCTTTCTTGAGTTTATCAGCTTATCACAAGCCAGTCTGACCCTTGCCCTCAGAGAACTGGTGCCATGGTCAAGTAGCAAATAACCATATTAGTAACTTTCCAGACATAAAACAATAAATATGATTATAGATGTTTTAAAGCCGATAAGAGAAAGAGATGTCTAGCATCAGGATATCTTCGAATGATAGCGAATAACAGACCTGTTCCTGTACTATCCTGACCCAGTTTCACTTTTTAACTTTTTTTTATGACAGAACATTACTGCCACTGGTGGCTGTAAAATGGTTTATTCTTTGTTGGAAACTCTTTGCGGTCAGCACACTGGTGCAGTTCTTAGGGCAGTGGTCAGTCCCTTGCTCCCATTGCTTGCTGGGACAGACTCCAGCTCGCCCGCAACCCTGGAGTGGACGAAGTGGTCAGAAAAGAGATGGATGGAAACCCTTCACCAGACAGCATTTCACCCCGGACCTGGGGGAAATACAGCCCAGGTTTAGAATTCCTCGAAACACACATACGGCCTTGGTTTGAGTAACTATAATAGAACAAGTGTGTGTGATGCAGATTTGAGGATCTGGTGATTATTTGTTGGGGGGGGGAGTGGTATTTTTGGCAATCGATGCGTCCAGCAAATCCCCTAATGCACATAGCTGCTGCTGTCCAAAAATGCGGTGTAACAATGAATGAAAGATTAAGTTTCATAACCTCAGATCTAATCTCCGAAATTCCCTGTGTCTAAATGATGAAAATAAGCCTCTTGTCCGCTTCCTTTAACTTCTCCTTTGGCTCACTGTTAGAACATTGCCTCTCTTGGAACATTCCTGAATTCCACTTAGGCAAACAAAATCCTTTTCATAAAATGTGCTTAATTTCTAGAATAATTACTGTAGGATTGCTTTTTCTGTACTACGGCTCTGAACACAACTTAAGCACCAACACTCTACACTTGTGTTTTGATGACAGCTTGATTGAAAACTAGAATTAATAATACAAAGATTCCTATTAGTTCAGGTGGGGAGCTGCGTCAGCATGTGTAGGCTGCAAAGGAACAAGTAACAGGTTTATTCCGTGCTGAAAAGAGAAGAAAGAAGACACAACGTTTCGGCTGTGGAGCCTTCTTCGGGTGTAAGAAAGATGTTCTTTCTTATGTAATAGTTTTTTTTATATTTTTGGAGAACAGGTGCGGCGTGGTTTAAGCGTACTGTTAGTCACTGTGCTAGGTTTCAGAGCAAATGTCTTACCTGTCTGTAGCAGAGCAGCTGGATCTGGGGGGGTGTAATACTAGTTTCGGCCACTAGAGGGCGGCATACGAGTCAGCCGCTAGAGTGGACCTGAATTCCTCACGAAGTCGGAAAGAGGAATCGGCTTCAGCTGTCTGCAGGCTGATTTCTGCATATATGCGCTCAACACCACCAGAGGGGGTCTGTCTTGGTTCTGGGAGGAGTGGTATTCTGGTAAGTTTTGAGGAGAGGTGGTGCGAGTAATAAAAACAATTTAAAAAAAAGATTCTTTAGACTGTAGAAATAGGCGACAGATTAAAGAGAACTATCGATAAACACCGGCTTGCTGCCGCATGTAGAAACGGGGTCGGAGGAAATAGAACCGGTTAGAGACGAGCTGGGAAAGTCGGGAGTAGGTGGTTACGGTTCATACTGGGGTGCAGTAAGTGTCCGCCCTCAGCCCGGTTCCCCCACTTCCCCGTAGAAAACGGGGTGCATGTGCGTGTTTCCGCCCCGATCTCGCCACCAGGCGGGGGGACCCGCTGCCCTCCCCCACCAGAGGCCTCTAGGTGACGGCGTCCGGGCCGGCGGACAGGGCTTCGAGAGAGGTCATGCAGTAATATCCGAGACACAGGCTGGTCTGTGTGCTGCTGTTCCCCACCCCAGCCTCCCAGAGTCCACCTCTTCACGCCTCATGAAACGGGAGTGTTTTTTTTTTGTGTGCCTTTTGTAAGCCCTATTAAGCTGAAGGCACAGTGGATTGTGCCAGACTATGTGGGTTATATTAGATTGAGTACATTGGCAGCCAGAGCGCGGCTGGGGCCTTAACTTCTGTTTTTGCAGTGATGGGCGGACGATGGCCGGAGACGGAGACGCGCTGTGTGGCAGTGAGACTGGAGAAGGATGTCCTTTTCGAGCAGGAAACCGGATCGCGCGCAAAGAGACTTGTAGGTGATGTCGACGAGTGTTGCAATTCTGTGATTTTTGGAGTGTGGTATTGATCCTCAGATCTAGTGACCATTCATTACCAAACAAGTTATGTGGCCCTAATGACCTCCTCTTATTTGCAAGCGCTGTGGTCTAAACGTAGTATTTCCTTACTTAGTAACAAAAGACATTGACTTCAGAATGGGCTGATGGGTCATTTGTGCAAAACTGGTTGTGGAGAAAACGAGTCTAGCCAAGACTTTGAAGCTACAGATAAGAGGATATACATCTGACCCAATACTTTCTCACAGACCCAGAATAGCTTCCATTGCACAAAGAGAGAGAACCAGTCTAGCTCTTTTTCCAATACACACTGGATTCTGAGTCCTGTTTCCAAATCAAGAGTGTTGTTTCGTGTGACGAGACAATTTCTGACTTTTGATAAAGTGCCCCAGGAGCAAATATCTCTGATTGGAAGAGAGCCCATCCAGGTGTTAATTCTTCTCTCATCCAATTGAACAATTGCCCTCTCTGTCTCTCTCTCTGTCTTTCAGCTGTTCCTACGAGCCTCATGCGCGCACACAGCCTGTTCCCCTGCACAGCCTCCCACCAGACAGGGTGCGAGGCAGCCATTTAAAGATGACGTGCAGGTCTGCCTCGCGATGTGACCTTCAGACCCAGCAGGTCCAGGTTTAGACGGTATGCTCTTGGGGGGCTGTTTGTGCAGTTACAGTGAAGGTCAGCCTGCTGATGGTGAGGAATGGACAGGTGTAAAGGGCTTTCTGTCTGTGTAAGTTGATACATCCAAACCTTCAAGCCAAGCAATGGTGGGTATGAAATGGAATATGCTTGCATAACCCTTTCCAGAGGGACACGGAAGGATACTCTATACAAATTGAAGGCAGTCATTATGAAGGCTTTGCAAGAGCAGGAGCTACAGCAGTGTTCCTTCCCAATACACCCCCTGGAGAGTGACGCAGGGCAGCACTGCATCCGAATGTCAATCGTGTTGCGAAATGTACCAGTGCCCGGGTATGTGTGATTCACCACTCTGAAAGGGCGAAACGTCCCAAACTCTGTAGGGCAGTCATTTTTTAACTAAACATGTACAATTGGTACTGTTAATTTTGATTAGGACCTACAAGAATAATCTATCCTGTTATCTGGGGGGGGGATCAATTTCACTAGCCTCGGTTTGTCACATTATAGACATCTGACTCCAATTAACCAGAAGGCAATTGTTCCTTGGCAATTACAGCTATTTCCCCATATACCTGTTAATTGGGTTCTGTAGTATGGGAGAATAAGGTAGGGCCGATGGAAGAATGGTATTTTGTCTCCACCTAGCGGTGACGGTGAAAACTGTGCTCAAGGACCCGGACTCCGGCCTTTCTACTGCAAAGGAGTAGGCAGAAACTAGATTAGATTGAGTCAGGAGTGCTACATAGGCAGGGACTTTCCACTTTATTAATATTAATCAATATTTTTATACCACTATATTAGCAGTTAATAATTTTCTTAAACATTAATACCGATAGTTAAATGATAATTTAGACCCATAATGTACTAGTACATTTAGACTTGAAATATATATTCAAGTGTATTTATTTTAGCATAACGTTCCTCTTTAAACGCACAGAGAAATGCGTTTATGACAAGTGTTTTAATCACGCTGTTTCTACAGACCTGCTCCTTGCCCAAAAAACACTTAAGCTTGTCAGAAAACTATATAAACGTACATTTTAAACATGCTGATCTCATCACCTCCACCTCCAGTGACAGATGGTTGAGAAAAAGTGTGGCCCTTTTCTCCCCAGGGGCCTTTAGGTGCTGAAAAGGGGACCTACCTACCAATGGATGCAGAAGAGATGATTTTCTGTGGTTCTAGTCTGTATGTTCGCGTGGAGCTCCGGTTCACGTTCAAAGACGCGCTCGCTGGGTTAACTGGCATTGGAGAAAGAACCCATCTTTTTAGCATTGGGCAACTTTAGGATTAAAAATGCACAAAATCACCTTTCAGTAAGGTACGATACATACAGAGTGGCGGTAATAACTTGGGGGAAAAAAGGACACAACCGTCTACCAGCTGGGCTAAATCAATCCGACCATCTGCGGTTTCATCCTCGCAGTGTTGGTTAATAAACGCTGCTCTGATTTGGTATCGTTGCTATAAAAGCTGATCCTGTACCACAGAGGCTGAATAAGTCTGCAGACGGAGCCACCTAGTGTAGCGGAATTGTGCTTTTCGGCTGCTAAAAAGCTCTGGGCGAGAACTGGAGTTCCCGTCTTCTGAGTGTTTTGCTGTGTGTGTACATCTTTGAAGCGCGTTTCTAATTAAGATTATTTCTGTAATGTAACGTTCACAGTCACAAGTTGTCGTGGCACCGTGAGCCTACGCACGATCGGCTATACTAACGTTCTGCTGCTTTCGGTCCGTCATACTATTCTAGCAGGTGTCGCTTGAAGAAGGCTCCGCGGCCGAGACTTTGCGTCTCTTTTCTTTTCCTTTCGGCGTGGAATAAAACGTCCTCTTTGCGGCCTGCGCACGCCATGCAGCTCCTTACTGTGGCCTCTCTTAAGGACCGACAGGTGTCGCTGTCCGCTCGGAGCTCCAGTGCTTCCCCTCCGGCGAGCACAGACAGGTGAGAACCCCCACCACCACAGCAGCACGTCTGTCCCTGCCACTGGTACGGCACCTGCGCTGCCCACGTCTGATTTAGGCTTTACGGTACGTTTTGAGCGACCGCAGAATCCTAATCACGTAAATAAGATATTAAGATAATGGATTAATACATTAAGATTTGTATTATTTGTTGTAATTGTCATCCTGTAAAGCGGTTTGAGAAGCCACCTTTAAAGGCGCTATATAAACTAGTTTATTATTATTATTTGTACCTTAACTACGAACAGATTCGCTACGGTCTCATCGGTAAAAGGAGAACGTGGCAGGCGCATTGGCATGTTATTGACGAGGATGGAAAAATTGTCGTCCACAGAGTCGAGCAGCTCCGGGACCGACTGGTCTGTTGTTCAGGGCAATTAGCGCGACAGGGGCTCTGCACAAGCCCTGAGCTCCTCTCTACAGAGGACCTGGAGGGTCCGGAGGGCGCCTGAGACCACCTGGCCGATGGCGCGAAGGTGCCGGTTTCTTGGTTACGTGAGGTATATGGGCTCTTCTCCGTTACTGCACGTTGAGTTTCACTGCGCGGCGTCCAGCGGGTTAAACCCCCTCATCCCCCTGTGCCAGGTCACCCCTCTCGCTCATGTGGCGATCTAGCACACTGTAGAAGTTCGAACACGTGTAATCGAATGAGTCAGGGATCACCAATTATTAAAAATGACGCTGAAATCCGTTAATCCATATAAATGTTCTCACTTCTCTAAGAACTATGCATGCACAGAGTGATGATTCTTGTGACGCTCAATGCGTATTAAATGTCTTCACTGGTTGTGATCTTTCTCCAGTGGGCTGTACCTATATCCACCTTTCGGTTCCGCAGTGCTAAATATTTTAAAGGCGTGGGCGCGATATTTTGAAAATACATTCATGTATTACTTTAGGACCGACGAGAATGGGTGTTCATCGCATTTTTTTTTATTTGAATGATTTCAAAGTCCGCGTTTCTAGAGGAAATGTAACGGCGTTTACATAAGTGTACGGTGTTGTTATCTTAAGAGGTTTTGTGTCCGTCGAAGTTTTTCCTTGCAAAATGAGAACGGAAGACATGAGATGAAGATGAATAAATAGGCGTCCTCCCTCCTGTCCTCCGAGCCTCTGTTCGGGTTGTAGAGACAACGCAAACGACTTCTGAAAGGAAGTGAGGCGTCGCGTTGCGGCGGCGGGTTATTTTAAATGCATCTCGGTCAAATCTACCGACAGATTTAAAAAATGTTTTGTTCCCCCCCAGCGCGGCACCGCGAATAACGCGATGTGCCGTCGGATTCCAGGGCCTGCGCCGCGGGGGAGGGTCGTCTCGGGTTTGGACATCCGATCCCCTGCGTTCGCGGAGCGTCGGGACGTGTCCAGTGGCCGGATCGTGTGCCCGGGGTGGAGAGTCTTCTGACAGCTCTGCCCAGCTCACCGCCTGTCCCTCTCGCAGCGAGCAGCGAGCCCAGTACAGCTCAGCCCGTCGCACACGGGCCGCCGAGCGCGTAAACACGCCGACACGGTAGGTTGGTTGTCAAAATGTGACTTGATCGACGCAAAGACAGCAGCTGTAGAGCACGCTATCTTAATATGTCAAACAAGGAAGCGGTTATTGTAAAGGTGAGGTCAAGTCCTTTAGCGCGTAAGACAAGCGAGCGAGCTACTTCTATCAATTTTATCAATTAAAGCGGCGGAGGACAGCGGGGACGGTTAAATTGCTGCCCTATGGACAGTAGTAGCACTCGAGAGAAACCGCAGCCTGCGTCACCTGTGGGAAAAACACGCAGGGCGTCCGGTCCAACGTGCGAGAACTGGCTGTAATTCCAAAGGTGCCAAAGCGGTTGAACCTACAGTGTGTATAAAGGTACACCTGGAAAAAGCACAGGTAAGCATCAGCAAACTAAAAACGGAAGCTGTAGTCGGGGATTTAAACAGGCAAGACATCCCAGGTCACTTCAACGTTTTTTTTTTTTCTCGATGATGTATTTTCCTAATGGCGTCGATAAAGGGCTTCAGGAAAGACAAAGTTAAAGGACAAATATACAGGTTTATTCCGTGCTGAAAAGAGAAGAAAGGAAACGACGTATTCGCTGTGGAGCCTTCTTCGGGTGTCAAAAAGAAGGCTCCACAGCCGAAACGTTCTTTTCTCCTCTTTTTTTCAGCAGGAATAAACCTGTTACCTGTTAATTTGCAGCCTACGCCTGCTGACGCAGCTCCCTGCTTGCAGGCCAGCATGCTTGCTTGCTGCGGACGAGCCAGCTCGTACCCTCTCCCTGACTGACAGAACGGTGAGCTGGTGTCTGCCTGCGGACCAGGGCTCTCCTGGCGAGACGCCGTGTAGGTAGAAACGACAGCTTTGCAGACGCTCGTTCAACTCAGTCATGTGGCACCCGTGCTGCTGCTGGCGATGTTGAGGGCTGTTTTCCAACCCTATAAATCCTGGTCTACACAACTAAAGCCGCTGTTATGCATATAAAATACAACGGTAATGTGAGACGTAATTCAAACCTGCTGATACTTAAGTAACTTTATTAAGAAGTGCTTTAAATGAGTTGACACAGGAAACGTTAGTTAGGGAGTGCATAGTGATAAAGGATCTCATCTTTAAACGATGTTTTGCTGGGGGTAATTTAACTGCGTTTTTAAATGCATTCCGACGCCTGGCGTTTTTGGAGACCCGTCAGCAGACACGGTGAACAGGTGAGGTGTGCTCGGAGTCATCCGATCTGGGCGCAAACAGCCCAGCTTATCGCTGTTGGCCGTTCAAACGCTATAAACGGAAAGCCAGCGGGTTCTCCGAAACTGACCCGACAATTTCATCCACAAGGCGTGAAAAAGTTTTTCATTTTAATAGGCTCAGTGGAAGCGTTTGTTGTTTTTTTGCGTAAGAGTACGATTCGTTGCCTCGATTGCAATGTGTTTACCTGTGCTTTACGCAAGAAAGCTGCGATTGTAAGAACATTGACGCTCGAATACAGAAGGGTAGGTAAGGAATTGGTCAATGTACTGAGGTGTTATGTACAATTACTGTTAATTCTGTAACTAGCTATAATCATTTAAAAAGGGGTTTGGAAAAGCTGCCACTGGCGGCGATGTGTTAGGAATGTCATTATTGTAAAAGTGTGTTTGGGTTGAAGGTTTCGCTGGAGGTGTGGTGATGTTTGCAATAAAAAAAAAAGTCATAACTGTGGGAATATAAAATTTAGAACACATTTTTGTTTATATACATTTTGGGTGAATGAGTATTGCTTTTAATGGTGCCCTATAAAACAATTAAGTATATTTGTATGGTTCTCACTCTTAATAGCTGCCTTTCCGTTTGAAACGCCAGTATAATTATTTTTTTGTACATTCAGGATCACGCGTACTCAAACGTTTAGGTGAAGAAAGGTGCCTGCTTGTTTGCGAAACCCGATGTGTGTTTGGAATGTGCAGGTGTGCTGAAGAAGTGGACAGTCTGCCCGGAGAAGCCCTTTCCTGATTTAGCAGCGCCCAGGAGCTCCTGGAGAAGGAACATGGCCCATCGGACTCAAGGAAGGTGTTTTAGCCTCCAAGGTGACTTGAAGTTTTCCGTCGGTTTGACGTCGGCCTGCAGCCTGCGGGAGGATGACGAGGGCCCCGAGGAAGGTCTCGACTTGCCGGGCGCGACGATCACCTTCATCAATGCCGACGGGGTGGCAGGTGACTACAGTCTGCCCTCGGACCCCAACTCCAGCAGCCCGCCGTCCGGGGGGCTCGGCCCACGCCTGCAGGGCAGCCTGCAGCTCCCGGACGCCGAGGGCGGGCCGAGCCGCAGCCTGTCGGAGAGGTTCGGTGCTCTCTCGGCCCGGGGCACTGAGCCGGGGGAGGCCGCCGGGCCCGACCCGAGCCTGTCAGAGGAGGAGGAGGAGGGTGCGGAAGAAGGAGAGGCCAGGGGCGCGGGCCGGACCGGTGCCGCCCTGTCCGGCGGGGAGAGGTCGTTCCCCGAGCCGAGCCCGCTGGGCTGCAGGAGGGAGGGGGACGAGCGGCCCCACGCGTGCCCGCAGTGCGGCCGGGCCTTCAAGAAGTCCGGTAACCTGCTGAGCCACATGGGGACGCACCGCGGGCTGAAGCCGCACACCTGCGAGCTGTGCGGCAAGGCCTACTCGCACCAGGGCACCCTGCAGCAGCACCGGCGCCTGCACACGGGCGAGCGGCCCTACCAGTGCCCCCAGTGCGGCAAGGCCTACACCTGGTCCTCCGACTTCCGCAAGCACGCGCGCACCCACACGGGCGAGAGGCCCTACGCCTGCGCGGCCTGCGCCAAGGCCTTCGTGCGCTCCTCCGACCTGCGCAAGCACGAGCGCAACGTGCACCACAACGACAAGCCCTTCCCCTGCGCGGAGTGCGGCCGGACCTTCAACCGGCCGCTGTCGCTGCTGAGGCACCAGCGCGCCCACATGGGCGAGCGGCCCTTCCGCTGCCCGGACTGCGGCAAGGCCTTCGCCGTGCCCAGCCGCATGGTGGAGCACCAGCGCACGCACCGCGGCGAGCGGCCCTTCGCCTGCCCCGTGTGCTCCAAGTCCTTCACCAAGTCCTCCAACCTGCTGGAGCACCAGACGCTGCACTCGGGGCTGCGGCCTCACGCGTGCGCGGACTGCGGCGCGGCCTTCGCCCAGGCGTCCCGCCTGGCGCGCCACC